TTAAATAATGTTATTATTCCATTCACCATGTTCAGTGAAACAGATCCGATGCTTTAAGACTTGTTGAAAGAAAATCTAATATTATTTAAGTTTTAAAATAAACTTTATAACCAAATTTTTTTCATCCTACTTTATGTTATGGTTGGAGCGCTTGCAAAATAGATAAATAAACATATACTTCGGCAGCACAGAATAGTAGAACCTAGTTTACGAAAACGAACAATGATTCTGTCTCTCTCATATCGATTGTGATAGTATCTATTCCGAAACTTCCTGACTACTTTTAACTGTTTTAAAATATTGTCTGGTAGAGCCGGTTTAAATTTTTCTCGTTTCACCCAAACAGTGGCTCGATTTTTCAACGCAGATACAAAGCGTATATAGTTTTTATACCATTCAAATGATGACGCCCTACTTTGTTCCTTCAGCCAAAAGTCTTGAAGTAAACAAAGTATGATTTCATACACTTTCCATAAAACACGAGGAAACTTTGCATAAATTTGGAAACTTATACCCTTTGATGTGTATATTAACGGTCAAGGGTCACTCGTCCCATACCTTAACGTTTCTCCGTTTAGATCTACAAAATTTGAAAATATAAAATCTATGTTCCGCTCCGAACGTCGCGAAGAATTAAAAGTTCCTGGGATGAAAGAGAAATCATTCTTTTCAATCCATTTTTGCAAAATACATCCTCTACCATCCATTTTTTGATTTATCCCCCATCCCATAATAGTTGCGTTAAAATCTCCTGCTAATATTGTATTTACAACTACGTATGATAAAAGGTCATCGAGATCTCGATCCTGACTTTTTGGCCAGTAAATACTATCACTCGGATGGGTTCAGACAATCCTACTATAACTACTATAACTGTGTTTGTAATTCGTGTTTCAACTCCAACTGCCTTTAGATATTTACCTACCGCAACACATACTCCCCCACTATTATTGATTCTTTCTTGATGAAAAGTCATAAAATCCGGTACTTTGAAATTCTCCCATAGCTGTCCTACTTCTGTACATATACAAAAAGAGATATCTCGGCTGTGGATAAGATCAACAACTTCCAAAGCTCGAGTATTCCATCCCTGAACATTAAAAAGAAGAAAATTTAGCGATATTTGTTGACACTTTACTGAATTACTATTTCTTTCACCGAATAACTCCCATTTTCTCAAGATATTTTCCAATGTGCTACTTGAGAACCACTCAGAGAAAAAATTTATAACATTTTTACTTATTTTTGCTGGTACTTTACACTGTTGTAATCTGTATATCGCTTTTTCTGGCGGATTATTTAAAACTATGGAAAAAAAAATGGGCACTAACGGATTCATTCCGATCCTAGGTTAATGAAACAATGTTCGTGTTTTCTTCTGGATCATTTCTTACTTCTATTTCTACTGACGTAGTTGTTCTTCTTTGATTCGGTATTATTGTTGTAGTTAGTAGTGAGTTATTAATCATTGAAATGTCAGAATTTACTTCTTCATTTGTTGTTAATCTATTCGGTCCTGTGGGCATATCCTCAAATTGGAAATTTAAATGTAGGCGTTCTTCAATACTTCGTAGTTTTATAACATAATCAACCATGATTTTTGTTAATTCTACTTTATCGTGAGTAGCTAATTTTACTACTGGTTTCCCAATATCATTAATAAAATCCACTATTGTTGATATAAACTCATTTACTGTTCGATCTGTTTGGTTGTCAAGTTTAGTTAATATATCCCTTAAATCCATTTTATTTTCAACTATTTTCCAATGGTTTTCTCCATTTCTAACATGTTTTTCTAACAAGGGAAATGCATTATCCTCATAACAATAGTCGTTCTGCTTTACTTGTTTAAATTGTTTAGAACCATCATAACTTAATTCACCTTTTTCAGTCGCTTGTTTAACCGCCTTGTTTAACTCTAAACGATAATTTTGTACTATCTGGCAATTTCTGTCTAGAGAGAGATGATTGCCTCCACATTGTGCACACCTAAATCTTCCATCACAATGATTTTTATGATTATTATCAAAAGGATTTAAACACACTCTACATTTCAGATGCTGACATTGACAATCAACAGCGATATGCCCTAATTTAAAGCACCTGGAACAGTAAGTAAGTTTATTAGCAGGTAAATAAGGAGTAACCGGTAGCAAATAATTCCCTATGGCTAATCTTCCCAAGTTTAAGGCTTCATGATACTCCTCTAAATTCCTCACATTGAAACAATAATCGTTCTTTAATCTTGCATATTATGCAATTATGCATATTATGCAAGATTAAAGTTAAGATATGTCCCCATGCATGGGGACGTATCTTAACACTAACGAGAAATTTGTAGCTCTTGATTTAGGTTTCACTATTTTACGCCTTTTGTTGTTCCAGAATACGAAATGCCTGCTTCTTTTGAAAATATATTCATCAATTGAAAATATTCATCAAGTGATTAACATGATGTTCTTGTTTCTTTTTTTCTCTTTTGAATTTCTTTATTTCAATTTTTC